CGACGATCAGAATCAGAAGAACCCACGCGAAATCTGCGATTAGTCGATACTCTCTATGGTGACGATCCATTTCCAACAATGCTTAATGCCGCCACGAAAGATCGAAATACAAAAGCTCTTGCACTTATGCAACAGGATATGCGGTTAAAAAACTGGAAGAATCACAATATTCACCCATTGGATGTCTTCGTAGCCCTTAAGTTTAATAAGGATGATAGCTCTTAAACCCGGTCTTAACGACCTAGTTCAAATATCAACGAGAAATTGACGCTAATCGAGTCACTATCATTTGGCCTTGATGACAGAGCCCAGGCTGTAGTGTCTGCAGAATGAAGACACGGAAGGGGGAGCCGGCGAGGATCCCTAAAGGTATGCCGAAGTGTATTTCTTGGCAAACGGTAAAGTGAGTTTCTGCCACATGTACTTGCTACTCTAGTTGGCGCCGGAGGCGCTTCTGTGGCGTTCAGCCCTTTGGTCGTACGCCATTCATGTCAACACCATTGTCGTTATGAACTTAGAGTGTCATCACAGTTGTCGATATACGCCGATCCCGTAGATAGCATTGTCGTTATGCACATCCACTTGTCAACAGCATTGTCGATACGCAGGCGCAGCCGTAGACGATCCGTTTCACCTGACTGCAACTCGTATCTGGAGCTGGCTGGTACTTACATTGTATATGCATGCGTAACCTGCACTTCACTGGCAGAGGTATTGCATTAATACTTGCCGCCGGGCTGAATACCGGAAGAACGAGAGACATTTCCACAAAAATTGAAAAGCCAGTTATTTGCAGAATGAGAAGCAAAAAAATTATCTCCTGGCGTCATCTTTGGTACAGTAGGCCTTAAAAATGTTATCGGGGATGCAACAGGGTCAATTCTTTCGAATCCAGTATTTAATGTTTGTGTCAGACGCATGAATGTGTTCATCAAGAAGCACCCTGGCGAGAAAACGACAATCATCGATACGCAAACTATGCCGATGAAGCCCAAGTAGGAGTGCTTGTCATTTCCATGAAGGATCCGACCACGGAGGACATCGCTAAGAACCTGGAGTTACTGCTGCTGACCAGATGGCTTCATGAGAAGAAACACCGCTCACCGTTTCACGTTGGATGCTCGAAGGTATATAGATATTAGTAACACACACAAGTTCTACGACGAAGTGGCTTAATGGCACCCAGCCTCACTGATAAGAGTCTACCTCTCTTGTAAGTGATGATTTTGCCCTGAGCCATGTGATGAAAAACACTACTACAACCTCTGTGACTTGGCAATTTCTTGCAGCACTGCTAAAAGTACGATGGCCGACTAACATGTCCATGCCACGTTTGTAACATCCCTCGTATTTTAAGTGAGAACAAGAACTCGCGTCGATAATAAGCAAATTAGTAGTCGTTAGTGCTCTTGGCGCTAAATGTACACAATATACCTCACCTGAAGATTGACATCGATAAGCAGTGATAATACCTTTTAAGACCCACATGAGTCGATAAATAAGGGGACGTCTACCTGAATTCTCCGTAATTCTGACAGTGTGTCTCATATACTTATTGGAAATGTCATCAAGACTAGAACATGGTACATTCGTAATGCTCGCTAATACAGCTAGCGCCACCTGTAAGCACGGTGTTAGACTTGCATGTACTTGTTTGATACAACTGGTCAAAGAGTGTAGTGCAGGCTACGCCTATATCTAAATATTCAGCCAGCCCCAGCTGCACATTGTAGTTGTGGAAAGCAGATCCCTTTCGGGATCCTGAAGATCAACGAAGATGTACAAGGTGTATCGGCATCAGTGATGACCGTATCGACATCTATGATGACCGGAAGACTCGTTACGTGCCTTGTGATGACACAGCCCACGTCCAACCATTGGAGCAGAACAACTAGTACGATATAGACCACGACAGCTCAAAGAGCA